TAGCACTATTTTCCCACACACCATTGTGGAAGTGCGTGTCCGCACAGCATGGTTCAAAACGTTCACACTTTAAAGTACCTCCCCCCTTTCCCAGAAAGTGCTCCTGGGCAAATGATAAGCACGCATGTCCAAGAATTCACGTGCCAGGGCATTCACTACAGCACAGTTGCAGTAGAGAAAAATTAGAAAGAATGAAAGTGCCCATTGATAAAAAGAATGGTGAAATAAATTATGATGTCATCCTACAGTGGGATACAACATAGCATTCTCCAAACCAAGACTGGTAATCCTAGTAGTTGGGAGGCTGAGGCAGGAGGACTTGAGAATTTAAGGCCTGGGCTAAGTGAGACTGTCTCAAACATAACAAAGCAACAAAAACAACAGCCATAAACCCCCACAAGAGCTGGGAGTGGGAGGGTAGCCCCAGGATACAGTGCTTGCTCAGCATGCTCAAGATCTGGGTTTGAAGGCTGGGAAGGTGGCTCAGTGGTAGCGTGCTTGCCTAGCACGCATGAAGCCCTGGGTTTGACTCCTCAGTACCACATACACAGAAAAAGCTGGAAGTGGTGATGTGGCTCAAGTGGTAGAGCGCTAGCCTTGAGCTGAAGAACTGAGGGACAATGCCCAGGCCCAGAGTTCAGGCCCCATGACTAGCCAAAAAAAAAAAAAAAAAAAAGATCTGGGCTTGATTCCAAGTACCAAGGGTAAATTAGGTGTAGTAGTGCCTGTCTATAAACCCCAGATCCTTCCTCCATAGTCTAGGCTAGCTTTTGACCTTACCTTCATTTCATGGGTGCTAGGATTACCAGCATGCATCACCATACCTAGATGCCATGTCTTTTATGCCTTCTTTGCCTTACTGATATGCCTAAGATCTCCTCCGCCGAAGAGCAGACATCCTCACCATTAAGTATAATGTTATCTAAAAGTGTTTTACCATGTTGAGTACATTTCCCCATACTTCTAGTTTGTGGAGAGGTTGAACATACATTGAGTATTTTTCTGCATGTATTGTGATGTTCATGTTTTCTTTGTTTGTTTTTTATTCCAAACCTGCTCATACACTAAATTCCATTGCTTGTCTGTTATATCTTTTTTTTTTAACCGTTGAGCCAAACTTTAATTCCTGTGATAAAATATTAGTTAGAAATGTTTCCTTATTCTTTTCATGTATTCTTAGATTTGGTGTGTTAACATTTTGTTCAGAATTTTTACAATCATATTGATTAGGAATATTTGTCTGTAGTTTTATTAACTTTATAATGCCTTTATGATACCAGGGCAGTGTGGTATTATACAAGGATTTAGGAAGTGGTTTCTCCTTTATGTATAGGATTGGTATTTCTTCTTGGTTGGTAGAATTTGCCAGTGAAACCATCTGTGCCTGGAGGGATTTTCATTTGTGTTTTGGTTTATTGGAGTTGTTTTGTTAGAAAGTTTTTCAACTCAAGTTTAATTTTTAATCAAGGCACTGTTGGCTAATGCCTATAATCCTAGCTACTCAGATCTTGGTTAGAAGCCAACCAAGGCAGAAAAGTTCAGGAGACTTATTCCAAATTAGCCACTGAAAAGCCTAAACTAAAGCTGTGGCTCCAGTGGTAGAGTGCTAGCTTTGAGAAAAAAAAACAAAACAAAACAACAACAACAAAAAAAAACCTAAGGGACAGTACCCAGGCTCTGAATTCAAGCTCTAGTGCTGGCATAAAAGAAAAGTTTAATTTTTAAAATGGATATGACTGTTCATGATAGCTATTTCCTCTTGAGTAAGTTTAGGCAGATTATGTATTTCAGAGAATTTGTTTACTTTATTAAACTTACTTAATTTATGGTCATAGAGTAATTCCTAATAGTTTCTCATTATCCTTTTAGCTTTGATAGGACTGCCCAATCTTGGCAATTTGTCTTTCTTGTTTTATTTCTTGATTTTTTTTTACCCCTAGTGCAACAGATTTTACTTTTATTGATTTTTTAAATTGTTCTTTCATTCTGGGTTCCATTGATTTCTACTTGTATCTTTATTTCCTTCCTTATGGCTTCTTTGGGTTTAATTTTTTCTTTTTCCAGCTTCTTAATGTCATTAATTCTTAAGATCATTGATTTTTTCCCTAGTCAATTAAAATATTTTCTAATTTCTCTTGTGGTTTTCTTTGATTTATGGGCTGTTTATAAGTATGTTTTGTGATTTCCCAAGTATTTGAGATTTCTCAGATACTTTTCTGTTATGGCTTCAAGTTTTCACTCTGCTTGATATAAGAAGTATTTTGTATAACTTAACTATTTGAGTGTTTATGCTATGCCCCAGAATAGAGTCATCTATTCTGACTAGACTGCTATCTAGACTTACCTAGACTGTTCTGTTGAGCCCAGAGATGCTTTCTACTGCTAGTATGTAAGTACATATATATCAGTTAGGTCAAGTTGAGGTTATCATTTTGCTCAGCTTTTTTGTATCCTGGTACTGTTATTGAAAGAGTCTCATGATCCTCCTTGCCCAGGCTGGCTTTGAACCACCATCCTCATATTTCAGCCTTCTGAGTAGCTAAGATTACCAGCGTGAGCCACCCACTTCCCACTTACCTGTACTTCTTGATTAGGTTTGCCACAGGGCTCACAGAACTCAAGGAAACACATTGAATGGCTTGTTCTGCAGGAGATCCCAGTGACTAGTGGGTCAAGTGATGGAGAGGGTAAGTTATAGGATAACAGACCATGACACCTTCCAGAAGCCTTTATCTGTTTGAGTGAAGCAGAAAATCCCAAGTTTATAATTCTGCTTTGGTCTTGCTGGTACCTACTCCCCATTCTGAAAATATCAGTCACCAGTTAGCTCATTAGCTTTCAAAGAGACATTTATCACTTAAAAATTTTTAAGGGTTTTAGAACTGAAGGAATGCCAACAAATAAGGATGAAGACAAATATATTTGTTTCACAAGATTGTTCCTGAAGTCCTGGGCCATACAGGGGTGAGGGGCTGATTTGGAGGTGCTTCAAAAAATCAGCTCAACCCCTACATCTAGATAACAAGTGGGGAAAGTGGTAGTGGAAGGCAGTAAAGAAATTTCCTGAATATGTTCATATTGGGAAGCCAAGGGGGGGTCAAGTGTACTAAATTCTGTGTTTTGCAATTAGGAACTTTAGGTTTTTTTGTCTAGTTTGTTGGTTATTGCCAGTACTGGGGCTTGAACTCAGAGTCTGGGCACTGTTTGTTAGCTTTTACTGCTCAACACTGGTACTCTAAAACCTGAGCCACCCACATGGTCTCCCTGATAAGTGGATGTTTCCAAAACGAAAGGTGATACAGCAAAGTTACAAGACTTAAGAAACAAAGGACTTCCACTCATCTGGTCAAATCACTTCTAAATAACCCCATGCTGCTGATCACATATATGGTACATATGTGCTCACTGGAGGGAAACCAGGAGCTAGAGGAAGTCAGGGAAAAAACATACAACAGTGGGACCCATCAACTGCACTGGACATTGATCAAAACGAACTAAGCCACTCAATGGCAGCGATGGGAGGGAGGGAACGAGTGGGAAAGAGGGAACAGCTGATGCTGTGCAAAACAAAAGAAATGTACATACCACCCAATGTGGAAGAAATAACTGTATTGTCAAAGCTCATAGAACTCATAAATGTTATAGACCATGATAGACAATTTGCCCCAGGAAAGTTAGAATGTGTTTGTGACTTCAACTAAGCATCACTATCCCACAACACTGTGAAATTTGGGAAATTTATGCAATCACTTAATCACAATAAAGAATTTGAAAAAAATAAAACCAGCCACAGATTTCCTTAGTTAATTGGAGATAAGAGGCTTGTGGACTTTCCTCCCCGCCCCCCAAAGGTAGCTTTGAACCCTGATTCTCAGATCTCAGTCTTCTGAGTAATTAGGATTAGTGGTATGAGCCACTGGTACCCTGGTTGGTTTAGGTTTACATAGAGAAGGATTTGGGGTAAGGGTGAGAGGTAGGCATAATTAAGCTACCTTGGTCAAACTGGGGATGGCTGATTATTATCTCAGTCTGGTTCTTCCAGACTGGCTCCAGAGAAGTGTCATCACTATTCCTTGCTCAAGGGGACAATTTGATCCCCGTGTGAGATTGTTCCTGATTGTAGAGGGGGTGGTCTTGGTTCCCATCATGGAGTGATTGATCCCTTTTCAAGGGTCAGTTACATTATAGCAGGGGGGCAGGGGATCTACCTGCAAGTCTTGCTGTTCTTGAATCGGGGTGACTGTGGGTTTAGGACAATGACTGAGACTTTCAAGAACTGCTCCAGGATGTGGAACAGATGTTGTAAAAGCAAAATGCCTTTCTCATGTTGATGCCTTCGGCCTTAAAAGATGATGAGAGAGGCTAGAAGAACAGGGCTACCTCAACCTTGCATTACCAGTTTTTAACAGTCAAATGGTTAGCATACCAAGAGCTGAGCAGCACTCAGACCTGGAGTTTGAAAGCAAAGAAGACAGATGTAAAATAAAGGCAGCATGGCAATCTTGTCCTGCTTCTTGTTGCCTAACAGGCCCATGCAAAGAGTCTGTGCTTTTAGTCTTAGTTACAATGCCAAACGTGAACTTTTCTAGGAAAGAGAAGGCAGTGCATGTAAACAACTTGATCGATTTGGTAAGTGTAATGAACAAAAGCTTCTTCCTATGACTATCAGACTCTCTCAGACCAAGCTTAAGTTCTCTCTTGGCTCAGTCAAAGCTATCTTGTCACTAGAGAGACCTTCATTTACACTACTCACTGACTGGTGGCCTTTGCTTGGGGATGAATTATTCTGGGGTCCCCTGAAGTTCCTTCAGGTTTCCACACTCAGCCAGCTGCCCCCAGGACCAGTGTGACCCTGCTTCAGATATCTCCTCCCCCCCTGAGGGTCATGGCTTTGTTTTCTTCTAGAGACCCAAGATTTCCAAACTCTGTGGTTGCCTTGCCTAGCTAAAAGGGGAAGAAGAGGATAAGCCCAAGGAGGAGGAGGAGGAGGAAGAGGAAAACAAGACAAACAGCCGGTGCCCAGGGACTGTGTCCAGCTGTCTCTTCTCTCCACAGAGCTAGAAGCTGGGAGCCCCTGCCTTGCCCACCCTCCAGCCCTCCCAGCCCGCTGCTTCCCCAGGGAAGCTATGGGGCTAGGGGCTCTGCTGATCCTGCTGGTGGCTACTGCTTGGCTTGGTAAGAACAAAACTGAGGGTTTGGGTGGGAGAGGGGAGTCTGAGAGTCCCCGTCTCTTCCTGGGAGTCCCTAGTCAGTCCTCATCTATCTCTCTAGCACTGGGCTTCGGGGTTTTCTCCCATGGACTCCCTGAGTATCCTGAGCACATCCCTAATCCTCACAGGGCTCTGTGTCCCGTCACCTCCCTGGCAAGTGGCAGCAGTGGTCACGGAATAGACTAGAAGGAGGCTTTTGGAACCTTGCTGCGTGTACAGGAATCACCTGAAGATCTTGTTACAGGGCAGATTCTGACACTGCAGGTCTCAGAAGGGGAGCTGGGACTCACCTTACAGAATCGGAAGCCAGTCATGATTCTAGGCAGAGTCTGGCTCAGAAAAGCCCAAAGGGGCAGTGGTCCTCTCTGAGAGCCTGGGTAAAGGAATGGGTCAGAGGGGAAGACAAGAGGTTGCCATCTTTGGCTCAGGGCTGTGGGGTGTTTTATGAGTGATGTAACACAGGAGGAGGTATTGGAAATGGCCATAGAGGCTGGGGTCCCCAATCCTCTCAGATGCAGGTGTCAGGGTTTTAGAGAGAGAACTGCACAAGTTTCTGGCCTTGTCTGCCCCAGACAGCTGCAGCTGCTGGTGTGTTTGGCCTGTTGGTCCAATCAGCATGTTTTATGCCATATCATCTGTGTATTTGGAGGGGCCTAGAGGATGATGGCTTGGCAGGGAGGAGGCAGGCCTCCCCACAGAGGGTTACTGGGGAGCTGGTTCCTCTGGTGTCTGACCAGAGTAGTCCACTGAAGGTCTTAGTCTGGCCAAGCGAATCTCATTGACTTGAGTGTCCTTTTTCTTTTTGCCAGTCCTGGGTCTTCAACTCAGGGTCTGGGTGCTATCCCTAAGCTTTTTTGCTCAAGGCTAACGCTCTACCCCTTGAGCTACAGCGTCACTTCCAAACTTTATTGTGGATTTTTTGGGAGATAAGAGTCTCACAGACTTTTCTTCCCCATGCTGGCTTCAAACCTCAATCCTCAGATCTCAGCCTCAGGCATGGGCTGCCAGCATCTGTCCTTTGTTCATTGAGATCTGATTTACCCTCATTAGAAGCACAGATTCTCAAGTGTATATTTTGAGGTTTGATAAACATACATGCATATGTACTCACCACCTCCATTAAGATAGAAACAACTCCCTCTCACCCCAGAAAGGTCTGTTGATTTGATTTCACTGCCTTGTCTTGTCTTCAATCTAGGAGACAAGCTCTGTGTGTGTGTGTGTGTGTGTGTGTGTGTGTAGAGGTGCTGTCTAGTATCCATCTCCAGGGGAAAGAGAAATGGGGGCCATGAGGATGGGAATTTAAGTTTTGAACCCAAAAGCTAGTGGGAGAGGGTGACTGCAGGGGGTGGGAGGGTGCCAGAACACCTAGAGACAGAGAGCAGCTGGCTTCTCTCCCTCGAGGGCACTCCTGGGGCTGAGGAGGGCCAGATATGCTGTGTGTAGAGGGGGAGTGACGGTCCTATACCTCCTGGAGATGATGGAGGTGTCTGTCAGGCAAGCAGGAGCATGGGGAAGACTTGGGAGCTGAGATGATGCCCACAGAACAGCCAAAGCCCTCAGCACAGGGAGCATGGGGGCTGAGAAGGCTTTCCATCCATCTACTCAGCCAAGCCAGCAGGGGAAGTTGGCAGGGGAAGTAGAGGATATCAGCGCAGTTGTGCGTGACTATCCGGGACAACAGGATAGGAGTAATGGAGCCAGATGCCTCTCCCTGACCACATTTCCAGGATGTGCTGTAGGAGCAGGCTGGGGAAAGGGGAAGAACAGAAGCTGGGTTCATGCCTATAATCCTACTCAGGAGGCTGAGATAGGAGGATCATGGCTAAAAGCCCACCCAGGCAAGCACGTCCAGGAGCTGCTCATCTCCAATAAACCAGCAAAAAGCCAGAAGTAGACCTGTGGCTAAAATGGAAATGCCTTGAGTGAAAAAAGCTTAAAGGAGAGAGTGAGGCCCTGAGTTCAAGCTCCAGTACAAAAAGAAAAAAAAAGAAGAAGGAAGGGAGAAGAGAAAAGCAAAAGAAACAAGAGCAGAAGCAAAGATTCCAAGCTTGGGGAGAGAGTGTTGTGTTCAAAGCTCATGACCTTCAAAGGTTAAAATCTTTACATACCAGACTATAAGTCTCAGAGGGGACTCCAGAAACATATCTATGGAAGTAGTTGTCTGGCAAGGGCAGAAGCAGCCAGGGCAGAAGTGATGAGGGGGAACAAGTGTCTACCCACTGTCTCCTCCTCCACAGCCCTCTGGGGTGGGCATGCAGGGTAACTGTCCTCAGGGATGATCAGCCTTCCAGCTGGTAATGATTCCACAGCTCCCAATCCAGGTAGTGTGAGTCCATGCTCCAAGCTTTCTCCTGCACCCCAGCCCTACCCAGGCCGGAGCAAATAGCACTAACAGGCCAGTGCCAGTTCTACTGAGGTTTGCCTGAAGGCTGTGAGCAAGACACTCATCCCTCTTCCTGTTGGTCACACCGTGGCAGTCTTGGCAGTGGTCACAGTTTGCACATGATCTCTCTGGCTGAGCTTCTGGATGCTCTAGCAGCATGTTCTGATAGGTTCAATGTCAGACTAAGTCAAGACATTCTGAAATCATCCAGAAAGGAAATCTTGGCAAGTTTGGGCTGGAGGGGAGGGACACCCACTTAAGGCGTTTGAAGACAATCATGGAATACCTTGAATTTATTATGGGGCTGGCACATGGCGATGTTAGAGCAGGCCTGGCCAATGGCCTGCTCTCTTAGGGTCTCTGGCTGTCTGGAGCCAGGCAGTGGTCAGGAGGCAGGAAGCAGAAGTGAGACTGTCCCTGGTAGAAGGGCCGCAGGCTGAGCGGAAACCTGGGCTGACCAGGGCGCCAGCAGTGTGTTTCCGCCACACATGCAGGCCAGGGTGCCTGGCAGTCCCCCGGAGGCCATGAATCAGCTCTCACTTCCCCTCCTTCGCCCTATTTCAGGCCCTGGCAAAAAGCTGACACTGCAGAGGCAAACAGCCCTCTTCCCCGAAGGCCTGACAAGGGTTTCAAGTTCTCTTTTTCTCCTTCAAGCAAATTTTCCTTAAAAGAGATGGCTTGTCCAGTACACACAGCAGGACTGGGGTACAGTGAGCAACTTGAAAGCTCACCCCACAGGCCCCATTTAGGTGTGTGTGTGTCTGTCTGTGTCTGTGTCTGTGTGTGTATGTCTGTGTGTGTGTGTCTGTGCCAGTCCTGGGACTTGAACTCAGGGCCTGGGCACTGTTCCTAAGCTTTTCGCTCAAGGCTAGCGCTCTACCACTTGAGCCACAGTGCCACTTCTGGTTTTTCTTTCATGCTTAGAGACAAGAGTCTCACACACTTTCCTGCATAGGCTGTCTTTGAAGTGTGACCCTCAGATCTCAGCCTCCTGAGTAGCTAGGATTACAGGCGTGAGCCACTACTAAGCCTTTATTCAAAGGCTTTTTAGACATTTAAGCCTTGTAATATGCTAATGAATGGATATGAACATTGTCCCCATTTTATAGGCAGAGAAACTAAGGCACAGAGCCCCTGAGCCATCCCACAGTGCCAAACAGACCAGATAGCCAATGGCAGAAGTGGGCACCAGGCCTGACTCCAGGAACCTCTCTCTCTTTCTCTTTGTTGAGCTAAGATCCTATGTCCCTTTTTATTTCCATGTGTGAATTAAGTCAAAGGACTTGACCAGGAACATCCTATTTGCTTTTTTGAGATCTTCCTTGAACCAGGCCCTAGGCTTGTTGCTGGGGACATTTATAAGGGGGTTGAAGAAGCTCACTCCAGAGAGAAGAAGGACAACGTTATAAGGCAGTGAAGATGGAGTCAGGGCGCTGGGGACCCTGTGTGAACAGCATTATAGGTGCCAGGCCCAGGGGGTTTCTAACCTTGTTCTCTTGGGATCAGGGATGTGAGTCCAGCCCTAACACAGCTGGGCGAATGATCGGTGTGCCCTGGCTTGTTCACAATGACTCCTGGTACCATCTCTGCTATGTGACCTCCCATCTCAGAGTTAGGAGAGAAGGCCTGGGGTCTAACCTCATGCTTCACTTCTACCTTCCACCTCCTCCAGGCCAGGGCACCCCGGTCATTGAACCCAGTGGACCGGAGCTTGTTGTGGAGCCAGGGACAGTGGTGACTCTGCGGTGTGTGGGCAACGGCAGCGTGCAGTGGGATGGCCCCACGCCCCCCCTCTGGAAGCTGGATCCTGACAATCCCAGCAGCATCTGGATCACAAACAATGCCACCTTTCAACACACGGGGACTTACCGCTGCTCCGAGACCGGGGGGCTTTCGGGGGGCACTGCCTCCATTCACCTCTACGTCAAAGGTGAGGATCCAGCCTCTTCCCAAGAGGCCTGGCCCAGCAGATGCCTCTGACAGACAGGAGGGCTGGCTATTATTAATATCCATCGTCAGCCAGCTGTGTATTTGTTGGGTGCTGACTGTGAACAAAGCCCTGCGGCTGTGACTCTAATTTCATGTGGTCTGCCACAATAACTCTGCAAGATGGGTTCTATGATCACACTCATTGTCAGGAGAGAGTCACTAACCTGAGGTCACACAGCTTTGAATAGCCCAGTTTACACCTGGCTCCAGAAGCCCATCCTGAAGCTGGGTGCCCGGGGCTCATGCCTCTCATCCTGAGCTACCCAGGAGGCTGAGATCTGAAGAAAAGCCCACTGGGGCAGGAAAGTCTTCCAACTAAGCAACAAAAAGCCAGGAGTAGAAGTGTGGCTCAAATGGTAGAGCGCCTTCCTTGAATGAAAAAGCTAAGGGACAGTGTCCAGGCAACTGAGTTCAAGCCCCAGTACTAGCACAAAGAAACAAAACAAAACCCACGCTGAGGCTGCCTGAATGGTCCTGGGATAGCCAGGGCAATGATCAGTCATCTGACCCTGTCACCACTAACAGTTGCTGCAGTACTTTTGACCTCATGTCCCCCTTTACCCAGACCCTGTCCGACCCTGGAAGCTGCTGGCAGAAGAGGTGACAGTGTTCGAGGGTGAGGATGCTGTGCTGCCCTGCCTGCTCACTGACCCAGCTCTGAGCGCACATGTCTCACTGATGCGTGAGCGTGGCCGACCTGTGGGGCGCCACATCGTCTATTCCTTCTCACCTTTGCGTGGCTTTACCATCCACAAGGCCAAGTACCTTGACAGCCACTACTACCAGTGCAGAGTTTTGGTGAATGGCAGGATGGTCCCGAGTCTTGGCATCAAGCTCAAAGTGAACAAAGGTGAGTAGGGCACAAAGGCCCCGACCAGGTAAGAAGGTTAGATTGGAGCCAGCAGCTATGCAGGCTGTGGCTGCGCTGAGGCCGCTGGACAGCCACAGATGTGTCCCTTCATCCAGTTTGGTCACTCACAAGACAAGACACATGGAAGTAACCAATAGGCTGCACGATGGACCAAAGAAAGGGATCATGGGAGCTTGGCTGACTCCACTTCCAGAGAAACTGGACTAGAGTCTCTTTCAACCATAGCAACAGACACAGAGGTTAATTCCAAATCTGCTGTGTGGCAGGACTACCTAACAGCCTCTGGAGTCAGACTAGAGAGAAAGTTGATCCAGATATGATCCAGTTTACTTTTATTTATTTTTGTATTATGCTAGTACTAAGACTTTAAGGCCTGGGTGCTGTCCCTTAGCTTTTTCACACAAAGGCTGCTGCTCTATCACCTGAGCAGCAACTCCACTTTCAGTTTTTGGAGTTTAAGTCGAGATAAAGGCTCACAGACTTTTCTGCCCTGACTGGTCTCCAACAGTGATTCTCAAATCTCAGCCTCGTGAGGAGCTAGGATTACAGGCATGAGGCACCAGCACAAGGCTCTAGCTTATTTTTTCCAAAGTCACTGGCTCTTGCAAGAAGCTGAGGTTGTGGTGGAGGCATCAGAGGAAAGACAGGAAGCCTTGGTTCAGGATGGCTGCAGCACAACGTCTAGAGTAGAGACTAAGGGCTGGTGATGAAGAACATGGACTGTCACAGGACTTGCTGTGGGGGAAAGTGAGGCAGTAGGGCTGCCTCCCAGGATTTGGGATGAGAGGATGGTATGTGGGACCCTGGCTCATGGCACGAAGCAGAGTCACAGCAAGAACCTCTTCTCCTACTTCAGTCCTCAAAGGGCCTCCCGCCTTGACACTGGAGCCTACAGAGCTGGTGCGGATTCGAGGGGAGAATGCCCAGATTACATGCAAAGCCACTGAGCCTGGCGTCCACTTCTACGTCTTACTCAAACACGGAGACACCAAGGTTGGTATGCAGGGGGACGGAAGAGGGAAGTTGGCCTATCTTCCTGGTACACAAAGCCCCCAGGGCAGAGTCCCAAGGCTGCATGTCAAACTGACTCTCTAATCTCAGGCCCAGAGAAGGGAGAAGCCTTGTCCAGGGTGTCCCTGCCAGGTAGTAGCTGAGTCAGAACCAGGACTCAGGCTTGTGGCAAGCAGAGGAAGGCAGGACCCGATCCCCTGGACCCCTGTGGCCTTTGCTCCATCTAGCCTGTAGAAAAAAGCCAGATGTGAATTCTCTGTGACTTACCAAGTGAAGCCTAGGGTACCTTCAAATCCAGAGATATAAGGGCCGTTTCAGAAAGACTAGGAGAGGCAGAGAAGGGATGGTCCCAGAAGGCAACGGCAGGAAGCGGATTCAAAGAATGGTTCCCTCTCCTTCTACCCCCAACTCGGTGCACACAGAGTGCCAGTACAGCCCCAAGGCTTTTGTACGCCTATCTCACTTAACCTTACTACAATCTAGGGACAGGGTGCCTGTACTGATCCAATGTTACACACGGGAAATTGAGGCGTAGTGTCCAGTGCCTTTGCCAAGGACCACCAGATAACAATATTAAAGGCTGATGATTTGATCTCAGATCGCTCTCTTTTTTTCCTTCTTTTTGTTCTTTCAAGACAGGGGCTCATTATACAGTCCAGGCTATCCTTGCATTGGTGATTCTTGTACCTCATCCTCTCGAGTGTTGAGATTACAGACATGCATTGCCATACTGACTTTATTTTTATTTACATATGTAAATAGCTATGTATTTACTTTTGCATTGCTGGAGATTGAACCTTGGAACATGCGCATGGCTAGGCCAATGCTCTACCATCAAGCTATATTATATCCCCAGCCTCAGGTCATCCTAATCACTAAACAATCTTGGTATGTCATCTCCATCCTCTGCAGCTCAACATCTCTCAAGAAGTTGACTTCCAGGATAACAAATATCATAAAGTGCTGGCCCTGAACCTGAGTGCTGTAGACTTCCAAGACTCTGGCAATTATACCTGCCTGGCCACCAATAGCATGGGTGTCCGTTCGAACTCTATGATTCTCCAGGTGGTAGGTGAGCATCAGGTGGTGGGAGGGGCCAGAGGGGATCTGAGGAAAGAGAGGCAGCAGGGTTTGATTGAAGGATGGGAGGATGTTGCTTTTTTTTTTTTTAATTCTAGTACTAAGGCTTAAACTCAGGGCCTGGGTGTGGTCCCTTGGCTTTTTTGCTTAAGGCTAGCACTCTACCACTTGAGCCACAGTGCCACTTCTGGCTTTTGGGTGGTTAATTGGATATAAGAATCTCACAAACTTTTCTACCGAGGCTAGCTTTGAACCTTGATCCTCAGATCTCAGCCTTCCGAGTAGCTAGGATTACAGATGAGAGCCACTGGCACCCAGCTTCATGCACACATGTCAGATAAGACAGCTCCAGGAGGCTGAGTGCCAGTGGCTCATGCCTGTAATTCTAGCTACTCAGGTGCCTGAGATCTGAGGATCTCAGTTCGAAGCCAGCCTGGGCAGGAAAGTCCATGAGACGCTTATCTCCAGTTAATCACAGAAAAACCTGGAAGTAGCACTGTGGCTTAAGTGGTAGAGGGCTAGCCTTGAGCAGAAAGGAACTAAGGGATAGCACCTAAGCCTAGAGTTCAAGCCCCAGTACCAGTTTAAAAAAAAAAAAAGACACCTCTAAGCATTCCCAGAGGTCTTAAGGCAGGACTGTGGGTATCACTTTCATGGGATGACGTGGCCAGTGGGGCTAGAATGAAGTGAGAGGAAGAGAAGTACATGATGATGTCAGGAAGACATATAAACCAGGAAGCCAGCAGACCTATAGGACCCCGTGTAAGGATTTGAGGCTTTTCCTCTTGAAAAAGATGAGGAGGGTTCAACAGGAGCGACATGATGAGACTTGAATGTGACAAGATTTATCAGGGCTTTCTGGTGCCTCATTGTGTTTGAAGGGAGGTAAAGGGGGAAGAAGGGAGATAAATTAAGACACCACTGCAGCCTGGCACTGATGACTCACACCTGTAATCCTAGCTACTCAGAAGGCTGAGATCTGAATATCTTGGTTCAAAGCCAGCCTGGGCAGACAAATCTGAAAGACTTTTATCTCTATGAGTGGTAGAACCAAAAACCTAAAAGACAGCACTCACTCTCTGAGTTCAAGCCCTAGTACTTGCAACAGTCAGGCAGAGGTGGTGGAGCTCGAGAGAGGCGATGGAGTGAGTGGGAAGTGGATGGTGTTAGCAACCTGAGATGTTTGGCTGGTGGGAGCAGAGGTAGCAGAAGTCTTTGGGCACATAGTAGTACTCAAAGGCTGGATCAATGGGAGATCACTAAATGAACAAACAAACTCAGGTATCTTCCCACTAATATTACATTCCAGAAAGTGCCTACTTGAACTTGACCTCTGAGCAGAATCTCCTCCAGGAGGTGACTGTGGGAGAAAGCCTCAACCTCAAAGTCAAGGTGGATGCCTACCCTGGCCTACAAACGTACAGCTGGACCTATCTGGGGCCCTTCTTTGACCACCAGCCCAGTCTTGATTTTATCATCAAGAAGGACACATACAGGTATCTGCTACACTTTATGTCTGCACTGCGCCACAGCCACATGGAAAGTGCCTAAGTCAGGATTCAGGATCTTTGGGTATTGTCCTGCCCTTCCGTGTGAACTTTCAAGAGTCCAGTCACCTTTCTGGGCCTTATTTCTTAGAAAGATCTCGCTATGTGGACCTGAGCATGTTTTCTGTTTCTGATTTGGATCAAGTTGTGTGTGTGTGTGTGTGTGTGTGTGTGTGTGTGTGTGTGTGTGTGTGTCTGAGGGCTTGAACTCAGGGCCTGGGTATTGTCCCTTAGTGTTTAGACTCAAGGCTGGCACTCTACCACCTGAGCTACAGATCTACTGCTGGCTTTTTCATGGTTAATTGGAGATAAGAGTCTCATAGACTTTCCTGCCTGAGTTAGCTTTGAACCTTGATCCTCAGATCTCAGCCTCCTGAATAGCTAGAATTATAGATGTGAGCCACCAAATCAATTTCTTATCTTATGCCCATATCCTTGGATATCCAATGCTTTTCTCAGCAATTCTACCATTGTTTTTGAGGTACACTTTTTTTCTTCTTTTTCTTTTCTTTTTTTCTTTCTTTCTTTTTTTGTTGGTCATGGGGCCTGAACTCTGGGGCTGGGCATTGTCCCTCAGCTCTTCAGCTCAAGACTAGTGTTCTACCACTTGAGCCACAGCACCACTTCCTGCTTTTTTTGCTTATGTGGTGCTGAGGAATTGAACCCAGGGCCTCATGCATGCAAGGCAAGCACTCTACCACTGAGCCACCTTCCCAGCCCTCTGTGAGATTCTTATCTCCAAGTAACCACCAAAAAACCAGAGTGGAGGTGCAACTCAAGTGGTAGAGCACCGGCCTTGAAAGACAAAGCTAAGGAAGAGTACCTTGACCCTGAGTTCAAGCCCCAGTACCAGCATTTTAACACACACACACACACACACACACACACAAACACACACACACGTACCTCATGCCTTTAATTCTAGCTACTGAGATATGGAAGGTCACAGTTCAAAACTAGCCTGAACCAAAAAAAGTCCAGGACCTGGCCAAACAAGTCAAGTGAACATGAGGCCTAAAAAAATGAATAAAACTAGTGTCTTGTCCTGTTTGGCCAGGATAAGATAGTGCAGCCAGAACACGGACAGAATGGGGACAGCTACAATGTAGTGTATGTACCACTGTCCCCTCTTGAGCAACTCTTTCCAGAGTCTAGTTGAATGAAGCCTATAGTCTTTCTCAACCAATCCCTCAGATATGAATTCCAGCTTAACTGGAGCATGATAGGATGTCTGCTTCCCTAGGCTCTATAGCATCCTAGCCATCCTCCAACGTCAACATTTTCTAGACATCGACTTTAATTCCAGAACCTCCCAACTCTTTGTCTCCTGAGATTTCACATAGATAGCCCTTTGTCCTCTCTTCTGGCCTGCAGTTCTCCTTGGTCCTCCCTGACCTGGTTTTCTAGCATCTCCTTACCTAGCTAGAACTGAAGTTCTGGACTCAAAGCCCAGGAGCCCCTGGGGAGGAGTGGTCCATGGATAGTTCAGTGGTCTGTACCCCATAGGCATGTGGAAAGGCACAGGAAGCTCCTTTGAGAAGCGATGCTCTGCGCCATGTGGGTGGCTGGGGCACCAATCAGCCACCAAAATTTCACTCGTGTAATTTTAGGCTCATGACGCATGTTTGAGTCATCCAAAAAAAGTGAAGTTCTTTTCAATTGAAGGAGGGGATGTTAAGTCATCTCGAGAACTGACTGTCTATGCTCACTCAAGTAGCACATATATGAGAATTGGGATAGGGTAGAGATTAACCAGCCTCCTGCTCAAGGACAACATGAAAATTCATGGTGTTAACAGCACCGGATGCTGGTGGCTCACGCCTGCAATCCTAGCTACTCAGGAGGCTGAGATCCAAGAATTGCAGTTTGAAACTAGCCCAGGCAGAAAAGTCTGTAGAGATTCTTAACACCAATTAACTACCAAAAAGCTGAAAGTGGAGCTGTTGCACAAGTGGTAGGTCACTAGCCTTGAGCAAAAAGAGCTCAGGGACAGCACTGAGGACCTGAGTTCAAGCCCCACGACCATCACCACCACCACCAACCAAAAGCCTTTGGCATATAGAACCTTCTACAAATGTCAGTTCTTTTTTTGTGAGTATATCGGCCCTGGGGCTTGAACTCAGGGCCTGAACACTGTCCCTGAACTTTTTTGCTTAAGGCTAGTGCTTTACTACTTCAGCCATAGCTCCACTTCTGGCTTTTTTGTTGGTTTAATGGAAATAGGAGCCTCATGGACTTTCCTGCCTTGGCTGGCTTTGAATTCTCATCCTCAGATATCAGCCTCCTGAGTAGCTACGATTACAGGGTGAGCCACCAGTGCTCAGCTGCATTTTTGTTTGTTTGTTTTTTTAAGTGGTGCTTGGGATGGAGGCTCTTCTCGAGGACCTGGAGGCTGCTATGTCACTGAGCCTCACTCCCCAGGTGCATGATGCCTTTTTATCCCAAAATCTAACATGACTGCGGGTATCTTCTGAGCAAGAACTGGTCCTTTGCTTGCAGTTTTTGGCAGTACTATGGGTTGAACTTAGGGCCTTCTATTTGCCAAATGAATGCTCTATCACTTGAACCACTCCTCCAGTCCCTTTTTACACGTGTGTGTGTATGTGTGTATGTGTGTGTGTGCGTGCGTGCACGCGTGCCAGTCCTGGGGCTTGAACTCATGATCTGCGTATGTCTCTGAGCTTTTTTGCTCAAGGCTGGCACTCTAGTGCTTGAGACAAAGCTCCATTTCCAGCTTTTTGGTGGTTAATTGGATATAAAAGTCTCAGGGATTTTCTGTCTGGGTTGGCTTCAAACTATGCCAATCTTCAAATCTCAGCCTCCTGAGTAGATAGGATTATAAGCACGAGCCACTGATGTCCAGCCACATTGGTAATTTTTATTTTTACGTTAAGGCCTTACTTTATGCCAGTCTGGCTTAGGTTGCAATCCTCCTGTTTGTGCTTCTCCATGTTGCTGGGGTAATAAACATACCCACTATGCCCAGTCATTGTGCTTTCCCTGTAGCATAGATAACAGATAACTACACCCAGCCATAGGTTGAAAAAGAGCCTCAGGAACTTCATTTCTTTTGGGCTGGCCTTGAATGACAGTCTCCTGATTTTTACCTCCCAAGTAGCTAGGAAGCACTTAGATTTTGAATGTATTTTCTGCCTGAACAATACATTTATGTCTGTAATAAAGGGCCAGGCACTGGTGGCCTGTAATGCCTGTAATCCTAGCTATTAGGAGGCTGAGAGCCAAAGATGACAGTTCAAAGCCAGGCCAGGGAGGAAAGTCCGTGAGACCTTTATCTTCAATTAGCCACCAAAAAATCGGATATAGAGGTATGTCACCAGTGCCAGAGTGCCAACCTTAAGCAAAAAAGTTGAAGGACGGCACCCAGGTCCTGTATTCAAACTCCAGTACTGGAAAAAAAAGAGGTTGGGGGCAATGTTAAATGCCCACAGTGAGTCAAGTCTGTGATTGCTTTGAACACTATTTTGTTAATCCTGAGGCCAAACCTATAAATTATTAGTGTCCTCATAGCTAAAGAAGCAGAGAATTGAAGAGGTTAATGAGACAGGGGCACAAAGACAAGACCATTAGTCAAATCTAGAGCACAGAATCACAGCCCTAGGTCCTACCTCTTATCCCCACCTACAGTGTCTTCTCAGTAAAGCTCAGTATTTCAGATTCTTAGTGAGGATGACTATGAAAGCTTAGCCTGATGACAGTGATAAAAGCAGGAGACCTACAGCAGGTGTGGTTGTACATGCCTGTAATCTCAGCACTCTGGAGGCTCTCTAGGAAGACCCTGTCTCAAGCAAAACTGAACATTTCAGATGGGACCGGTGAAAGAAACAGGGTGAGCACTGTCCCTCTCTCAGTGTCACCCTCTTGAGTTTCTGGCTCAGCCGAGGCTTCTGTGCCACTTTACCAAAAGGGAGTCAACTTCTTTCAGGTTGTTTTCTGAAGCCCTGTGTCCACCAGGGCCATACTGACCAGGGCTCCCTGCTGACTCCCTTCCCCCCCGTCCCCCATCACCAGCAGGTACTCTACCCTCCTCTCCCTGCCCCGCCTGAAGCCCTGGGAGGCCGGCCGCTACTCCTTCAGGGCCCGGAACGCAAGAGGCTGGAGCGCGTTGACCTTCAACCTCACCCTGCAATGTGAGTGATGGGCTGGGGCCAGGGTGTGGGCACCCCTCCATCTCAAGGCTCCAGATGAATTGGGAGGGAGGGGGAAAGCAGGCCCAGTCAGGAGAGGGACCCTGGCCTCTGGGACTGATCTCTTCCTCCCTCGCCCTTCCCCTCCTGTCACCCTCAGATCCTCCCGAGGTCAGTGTGACGTGGGCCCGCATCAATGGCTCCAATATCCTCTTCTGTAATGTCTCTGGGTACCCTCAGCCCAATGTGACATGGCTGATGTGCCGGGGCCACACAGATAGGTAAATGGACTGCTCTCTCTACTCGCATGGGCTCAGGAGGTGGGCCAGGGTAGGGATGGGGCCACCAGGAATAGGAGAGGTAGCCCTGAGCGACCTCCTGTTGGCCCTAGATGTGAGCGAGCGCAGATGCTGCAGACCTGGGAGGACTCAGAACTCAAGGTGCTGTACCAGGAGCCCTTTCGCAAAGTGATCGTGCAGAGCCAGCTGATTGTTGGGGCCTTCCAGCACAATACGACCTACGAGTGCAGGGCCCACAACAGCGTGGGCAACAGCTCTGAGACCTTCAGGGCTGTCACCTCAGGTAGGCCTCCATCCTTCTCCCTTGCAGCCAAGGTAGACATAGGGGGAGGGTCCTGGGATCCAACTCCCTCCCCACCCACAACAAGGGAACCAAGGCCAGAGCTCCAATTTGCAGCAGATGCAAGTGATCCTGAGTTCTACCTCTCTGGTCCATCCCAGGGTCCTCTTGTCCCAGGAATCCTGAGGCAGCAACATGGGGGAGTCTGACTCAATCAGAGGAGAGTGATCAGGAGGGAAACTCAGGGAAGTCCAGAGAGCACAGTCTGGAACAAGCTGGCCCCTTAACTCACCCCCTAATTAACACGTACTGCCTTTGCTGTGCATCAGGTCTCAGGCACACTTGGTCTCTGTTTCTTCCAGGCCACAGCATTCACAGACCTTTAATAACCTGGTTTCAGCCCTCATTCTATGTCCTTACGGAGGCTCTCTGGTCACAGAGGGAACAGGGAGAGTCATGGCTCAGAGATCATGTCACTCACGTGCCCCAGCCATTGGCCTTGGAGCAACTACAACCAGGCCCTTTGCACTCTGATAGCTGTGGTACTTAACTCTCTTGCAGCTGCTTGCTGTGTAAAAGCCAGTAGGGTGGGGCTGGGAAGGTGGCTCAGTGGTAGAGTGCTTGCCTGGAATGCATGAAGCTCTAGGTTTGATTCCTCAGCACCACATAAACGGAAAAAGCCGGAAGTGGCGCTGTGACTCAAGTGGTAGTGTGCTAGCCTTGAGCTGAAGAGCTGAGGGACAGTGCCCAGGTCCAGAGTTCAAGTCCCACAAATGACAAAAAAAAGCCAGTAGGGTGCTTGTCACTTATACTGTGCCGTGCCTTGAGCTGGGCAGGCATTGTCATTGTTTTTTTTAAATCGTCATGGGGTTTGAACTCTAGGCCTGGGTGCTGTCTCTGAGCTCTTCAACTCAAGGTGAGCACTCTACCACGTGAGCCACAGAGCCACTTCCAGTTTTCTGGTGGTTAATTGGAGATAAGAGTCTCATGGACTTGCCTGCCACACCGGCTTTGAACCAAGATTCTTAGATCTCAGCCTCCCGAGAAGCTAGGATTACAAGTGTGAGCCACCGGCACCCAGCTAGGACAGGCACTGTCTTAATGACCTCTCACCTCCCAAGGCGGTCAGTCCTATCTCTCTTCCCATTTGGGACATGCTAAACCTGAACTTCCGAGAGAAATCATGCATTCAGTGTTCCCCAGAATGAGATTTGACCTGGGAGTCCAATCTGGCTTAGCAACAGAATGAAATTGTATCTTTCAAAACACATCAAGAGAACTCAGGCTACCAATACAAGCAAAAGCAGAGACCCCCAAACCCATACCCTGGCTCAGAGACCTTTCAAGACCTGTTTATTACCAAAGGCCATATGGGGACACTCCAGGAAGTTACATGAGATGTAACTTCCAGAAGTCCGTCTGAGTGCCAGAGGCAGAGGTGGTGGCCCCATCACTAGGGGAATGGGCACACCTTGGTTGAGCACTAGGCCATATTTTTTCACTGGCAGCCGCTGGCACTCATTACTCCTGTGGTCTCTTCTAGACCCAGCAGGCTGGGGCTCTGGATGGAGCTTGGTGTGGACAGCCAGCTGGCAAGGTCACCTCCCTGAGGTCTGTGTGAAGCTTCATTCACACAAGTGTTTAATGAGCACCTACTGTGTTCCAGACAGCTAGCTGGCCTGGTGTCAGTGAGGGGAGGGGACTTGGTGGTCCCTCTGCCTTCTCCATCTTCTGGTCTGTCCCTCCAGAATCTGTTGTGAAGCCCCCCGAGGGGTCCCTCTTCATGCCGGTGGTGGTCTCCTGCCTGGTTGTCATGACCTTCCTGCTGCTGCTGCTCTTGTACAAGTACAAGCAGGTGAGCTGGGACAGAGGGGGCTGGACGGACAGAGGGGGCTGGACAGCCAGACGAGGTGGACACCACCAGGCATGATCCACCCTCCTCAGTTTCCCTTTTTGTATGGTGGGCCCAAGGTGACTTTGTGTGTGTGTGGGGGGGGGTGCACGCTTGCATGCATGTGAAATCAGGGTCTTATACTATCATTTCGCTTTTTTACTCAGGGCTTCCACTCTACCACTTGAGCTATACCTCAACTTCTGGTTTTTTGCTGGTTAAATGAAGTAAGAGTCTCCTAGACTTTTTTTTGGGGGGGGTCCGGTCGTGGGGCCTGAACTCTGGGCCTGGGCACTGTCCCTCAGCTCTTCAGCTCAAGGTTAGCACTCTACCATTTGAGCCATAGAGCCACTTCTGGCTTTTTTCTTTTTGCTTATGTGGTGCTGAGGAATTGAACCCAGGGCCTCATGCATGCAAGGCAAGTGCTCTACCACTGAGCCACCTTCCCAGCCCATTCCTAGACTTTTTTTTTGGCCCAAGCTGGCTTTAAGCCTTGATTTCTCAGATCTCAGCCTTGGAGTAGCTAGGATTACAGCCATGAGCTACCAGTGCCCAACTGGTCTCTCCAAGCCTCTGTTTCTCCATTGTAAAGTGGGTTCATCACAGCAGACTTACATGGGAGTCTTGGCCTGCGGAAAGGACTGGCAGAGCTCAGTGGTAGGGCCCGTGCCATGGACACAGGGGGCAGTGAGCTGGGGACCCGATTAGCTCACGCCTGGTAGGGTTGGATGGGTCTGAGGTTGGCATAATCTCCTTGACAACCACCCAAAGTGGTTGTTGGGTGCTGCTCGCCACCTCCAGATCCAGGACTTCCTCACTCTGGCGACCCCGTTCCTTCCCCAGAAGCTGGGTGCTTCTCCAAAACTCAGAAAACTATCTCCCAGTGCCCTTCAGAGCAGCCCTGGGCTGCCCAGTAAGCCCTGTAGAGGTCCCAGAGCCCTGTAGTCCTTCCTGCCTGGGCTGACCACCTTCCTTGGCTGTGGTCTCTCTCCACAGCCCCATCATTTTTTGTGTGCTCCTCCTGAGGCCTGAACTCAGGCTCTACGCACAGTCCCTGAGCAGCTTCTTTTGCTCAAGGCTAGCACTCTACTGCGTGAGCCATTGTTCCACTTCTGGCTTTTTGGTGATTCATTGGAGATTCGAGTCTCTCAGGTTTGTCTGCCAGGGCTGGTTTTGAATTGTGATCATCAGAGCTGTCTCCTGAGTAGCTAGGATTCCAGATGTGAGTCACCAGTACCTGACCCTACAAGGTCACGTTCAGAATATGTACTTCCAACCACCCTCTGATTTCCCAGCCAGGAGGCTCAACTGGCCCCTGAGTTCCCCACCAAGGCCAGGTACACACTTGCCCCCTAGGCTGCCCTCCTCCTCGACAGGTTCTTCAGCTTGTCCTGGCTGATGTGCTCCTATCAAATCAATTATCTCCCTGCCTTGGGGCCTGTGGGGATTGGGCCTGATCTGTCACCACTACCTTGGTCCTGTGGTGGAAGGCTTGTTTCTCTCTCAGAGCTGAGTCATCACCACCTGTGCTTCAGAGAGGCTCCAGGAGAAGGAGAAAAGGGCAGGAGTCAGCTGGCCACAGGGAGGAAGACTCAAAGAGGGAAGGATGGTAAAGAGGAGGCCCGACAGGAAAGCCACTGGAGAATCTAGGATTCTTGCCAGCCCTGAGCTCTGAGGAGGACAGGGGATAGCAGAGCTTCCAGAAGGATGGTCTGGAGGCAGATCACCCACCCTATGGAACCAGCTGCCTGACAGGGAGAGTAGCTGGGACTTTGGCCATTTCCATCCCCAGAAGGAAGTTAGGGGTGGGCGTGGGGCTTAGGCCCCTGTGTACCCGCTAAATAGAATGACGCATGCGGATTGTCTGGCCTGGCTTACAGGCAGTGCTCATGAGGCACTGCTGCTGGCTATTGCTATTCCTGGAATCAGAAAATCAAGCCCAGAGCCCCAGGCAACCCAGCCCATGGGTGACACAGGGATGGGGGGGGGGTGGGAGGTGTTTGTGCAGAGAGAGGAGGAAGATAGGACTCCTGACACAGGCAGGAGAGTCAGGACACAGATGTGAGAATCTAGCCAAATTCTTCTTCCTCCCTCAACCTGTCCCACACCACTGGACCCCTGCCCAGTGGGAGGGAGAGGTGTGGAGGGAGCTGACTCAGCCCAGCTGTGGAGGGCCGAGGGGGGGGGAGAGGGGGGGGCAAGACAAGAGAAGCAGAAGTGGTTCAAAGCCACAGAGGCTCCTGGAGCTGGAAGTAGCAGGAGCGGTCAGAGAATTCCCCTCCTTAAGCCCTGTCTGGTGTTAGGGTTAGAACATCCCCAACCATCCTTGGAGACTTAAGAAGTTCCTCTCTGTCGCATTTCAGATTCTCCTCGCAAGCCATCATGGGTGTTCTTAAGTTTATCTGTGGCTAGCCCTTCTGAATCAGGGCCCAGAAGTCCTTCTTAGTGTCTAACTTAGTGCAGTCTTTTCTCCCAAATTACCAACTGGAAGCACCTTCCCATGGTTATCTAGAATCTTTTTCTCTTAACCTGGCAAGACTTGAATCCCTGGGCGACCTGCTTCCCACCTGTTCACACACTGTTAGCTTCCCCAGCTGCAGTACCAGCAGCTAAGCCCAGCCCAGCCAGTCCCTGTCCCTAAGGCCTGGCTGGACAGAAAGTCCATCAAGGCCTTGCTGTCCTCCAGCACACCAGCCCGGCTTGTACTTTTCTGAACACTTGGTTTTCCCTCTGCACTTCTTATGGGTAGCCATCAGCATGATGCCCCTGTGCAGTTACCCCTGGAGCAGGAAAAGGAGAGGCAGCTGTTCCTCTTGCCTAAGCCCCACCTTCTGGCTCTGCCACCTGCAAGCAGCATAGAGAATCCAAGGAGGAACTGGCATCAGCTGGAAGCCCCTTGTCTACTGACCTTCAAGTCTTGGCAATATCAAGTCAGATGACTCCGCCCCTGCACACATCCTTGTGCCTCCCCTTGGAGTTAGAAGGGAACTCACCTGATCACCACCATCATAACCTTCCAGCCTCTGGAACCTTCCCTCATCTTCTCTAAGCTACCCTCATGTCCTTCCGGTCACCTGAACTTACCAGGATCATCTCTACCTCAAGGATACAGCATGTGCAGCCTTGCTAATTATCTTCATGGACTTACTTGAAAATGTTTTACCTTGTTAAGAACTGAAGTCCTTTCTTAGCTACTTCCCTACAAACTACATAGGCTAAGAATTTGTGTTGCTCTGTTGGGAACAGATGCTTAGGAAAATACCTGGATGAAACCATTGTTTAGCCCTCAAAAGGAAGGGTATTCCAATACACGCTATAACATGGAGGAACTCTGAGGACATTATGCTAAGGGAAGTAAGCCAGTCATAGAAGACAGATATGACATGGTGCTATTTGTAAAAAGTAACCAGAAGACAAACATTCATAGGCACAGAAAGTAGAATGATAGCTGTGGATGACTGACAGGAGGGAATGAGGGGGGCGGGGCATTGTAGGTACAGAGCTTCAGTTTTGCGAGAGGAAAGGATGTTTGGAAATTGGTTGCAGAGCAATGGAAATGCAACTTAATACTACCAAATGTCTGCTTAAAGACAGTGAAGATACATTTTATGTTATATATATTTTACTGCAACTAAAAATAAAAACATGGTTGGGAGGGTAGCTTGGCTGGAAGAGTGTGTTTAGGATAGGTGAAGACCAAGGTTCAATCTGCAACATGCAACACCCCCCCTCCAAAAAAAAAAAAACTATTTGGATAAAAGAATGGATGAATGGGTGGAGGATGAGTGGGTAGATCTGAAGTTCTACTGTCCTTCCTGCCTGGGGAGTTACCAACTTATCAGCAATATCAAGACCCTCAGAAGTTATCTGGTCCAAGGTCTTCAACAAACAGATAGAGAAACTAAAGCCCCCACAGAGGGTAACGGGGCAAGGACTGTGCCCTTGAGAGGTCATGACCCTCTCTGCACAAAGAGGGCCGCACTCAGAGCCCTGCACCCAGACAACCTCAGCTTCCCAAGGTCAGACTCAGAAGCCCCCACCAGACCAGCTTCTATCTGCTTCCTCCCTCCTTTTGCAGAAACCCAAGTACCAGATACGCTGGAAGATCATTGAGAGCTACGAGGGCAATAACTACACCTTCATTGACCCTACCCAGCTGCCCTACAATGAAAAGTGGGAGTTCCCTCGCAACAACCTGCAGTTTGGTGAGATAGGGTGTCAGCTCCCACATGCATAATAGTGGGTCTCCTGGGGACTGTGGCGAGCCTGTAGACTTCGAGAGAGAAGGCTCTGGTGCCCAGGGACCTGAGGGATCTATGTGTGTGACAGGTAAGACCTTGGGAGCTGGCGCCTTTGGGAAAGTTGTGGAGGCCACAGCCTTCGGTCTGGGCAAGGAAGACGCTGTCCTGAAGGTGGCTGTGAAGATGCTGAAATGTGAGTGTGGGGGGGGCATGAGGAAGTGGGAGCAGGGCTAGACAGTGTGCATGATGGGGGTGGGCTGGCCCTGGCATCTCAAGAGGTACCATGCACATGGTCAGCCCGTTGAACCCGGGGGACAGGGCGCACATTTGGGGGTGCCTTGTGGAGGTCGCTCTCAACTTCTGGCTGAGGAGAGACTTCTGCTTGAGCCCCAGGCAGGCAGGCATGGAGGGCCATAGTCTGGTTGTAGCTTGACTCTCTGGCACCCTGAGACCAGCTTAGTAACAGGTGCACCCCTTGTCTCCCTCTGTCCTTCTCATCTGTGCCTGCACTCTTCCTTTCTCTCCATTTGTATTTGGATCCTCCCGGATGCCATTCCCCACTGCTCTGCAATCCGGCCCCTCAACCAGCCACGGCTCATGCTGACGAGAAGGAGGCCCTGATGTCCGAGCTGAAGATCATGAGTCACCTGGGCCAGCATGAAAACATAGTCAACCTCCTGGGAGCCTGCACCCATGGAGGTGAGCACTCAGTGGGTACAAGGTCTCTGGGTAACTGAGGGCTCTAGAGGACTGAGACCTATATTGTCCTTCTCACCTGTGGGTTCCAGGAGAATCCTTCCTTAGCACCTCCTACTTTCCTAGGCCAGACTCCTAGGCTTGGCAGGAGCTGCTCATTTGTCCTGCAGACAACTCTTTGTTGCTCCAGGCCATGCTTCCTAGACATCACTGAGCACACTGAACAAGGAGATAAAGGAACAAAATTCTGAGTATGCTTGTAGAGGGTATGACTGTGGACTGGAGACCTCCCTTTTAGGACACCCCATACAAAGATGCTTGGACTCTCCACAGGGACCACCGAGCTGTCCTGGACTCCAAGCTACCTCCTGCTCTTCATTACATCAGCTTTCCCTATGTCAAACATGCCTGTGATACTAGATACTCAGGAGGCTGAGATCTGAAGATTGAGGTTCAAAGTCAGCCCAGGCAGGAAAAGTCTATGAGACTCTTCTCTCTATCAAAAAGTCAGAAGTGGAGCTGTGGCTCAAGTGGTAGAGAGCCTGCTTGGATTGAAAAAGTTAAGCAAAAACATGAGGCTTTACATTCATGCCCCAGTACTGGCACACACAAAAAAGAGGTGGAGAGAAAGGGGAGGGGAGAGGAGGAGAGGGAAGGGAAGGGATTATGAGGTCAAAGATTTTTCTTTTTAGATGATGATGATGATTATTTACTTAAGAGAGATGGGTTACTGAGGCATGAAAAAACTTGCTCAGAGTCAGGATTAGAACTCGTGTGTGCTGACTTCCAGGCTGGGGCCTCATGGCCTCCAGCCTGTGCTGCTGTTCCCATGGGGAACAGGGCCAAGGGCCACATTCTCCTCACATCACACTTCTGGCACTTTAGGCCCTGTCCTGGTCATCACGGAGTACTGTTGCTATGGGGACCTGCTCAACTTTCTGAGAAGGAAGGCTGAAGCTATGTTGGGACCCAGCCTGAACCCAAGTCAGGACCCTGAGGGGGAAACCAGCTATAAGAACGTGCACCTGGAGAAGAAATACATCCGCAGGTAGTACTGGGGCAAGGGATAGGAAGGAGATCAGGATGGGGAGGTGTGGCCCAGGTCTGTCTGCCCAGCCAGCTCCTATCTGTGCCATAAGGAGTAGCCATTCCAGGCTTTACAACAACCTTACATATTCTCATCATTGGACAAACATGTGAGCACTTACCACGTTCTAGGATTGTGGAAGGCCAAGGTAGGCAGTTCAAAGCCTGGTAGAGATGTGTGTTCACAAAGTCATTTCTTTAATGTTTATAAAAGATCAACCCAAGCCAGGCACTGGTAACTGACACCTGTAGTCCTAGCTATTCAGGAGGCTGAGATCTGAGGATCAGGGTTCAAAGCCAGCCAGGCAGAAAAGCCCATGAGACTCTTATCTCCAATTAACTACTAAAAAGTTGAATGTGGAGCTGTGGCTCAAGTAGTAGGGTGCTAGCCATGAGTAAAAAAAACTCAAGAGACAGGGCCCAGGCCCTGAATTCAAGCCCCAGAACTGGCAATCACAAAAAGCCAACCTACACTCTGCAAACGCAGCACCTGAGGGGGTCACATGGGTGCTTCAGAGCACCCAATCCCCCATTTCACTCAGGAGTAGCCAACCTTAGCACCCTAGCCGAGTCCTAGCTGTACAAGAGGCAAAACAGCTCCAGTCTGCTGGAGTCTCCAGTTCCACAGACAAGCCATCAGGGTGGAACTCTTCAGGATATTTCTGGTAGGCTCTGTCATGTCTGTGACATGGTTTCTGGAAGCCATCCAGAGGTAGATGGGGAACAAGAGAGAGGAACTGGCAAGTTTCATGTTACAGAGTGCAGCCTGAGCCAGAATTTGGCTCTCTTGGCTTCAGGTCTAGTACTCACCTGCCACATTGCTGTTTGGAGGACTCCATACTGGAGCCTGGTGCAGTAGGGACAGGACCTGAATGGGAGAGGGTATATAATGCTTTTATCTTAGGCAGCTGCCAAGTCGTAGAGGAACAAAAGAAGAAGGAGGCCATTTTTCATCCTGTGCTCAAAAATGGGGACCTGGCGAGGTCTGCTTCCTCTTCTGATTCTCAGAAACCTCTCTGAGAGAGCAGCACACACTGGATCATCCTTTGCCAGCTGGAATCTTAGGCAGATCATATAAAAAATACCTGGCCAGAAATAATAGCTCAAACCTGTAATCCTAGTTACTTGAGAGACAGAGATCAGAGGATCATAGTTTGAGACCAACTCAAGAAAAAAAGAAGTTCATGTCAGGTGTACCTATCTTCCCCAGCAACATGGGAGGCACGAGGAGGAGGATCAAAGCTCAGGACAGCCTGAACATAGAAAAGCAAGAAAAAGGGGTTTGGAGCATGGTTTACATTATTTTTTGTTTTTGCCAGTCCTGGAGCTTGAACTCAGGGTCTGAGCACTGTCCCCAAGCGCCTTTTTGCTCAAGGCTAGCACTCTACCACTTGAGCCACAGTGCCACTTCTGGTCTTTTCTGTTTATGTGGTGTTGAGGAATCAAACCCAGGGTTTCATGCATGCTAGGCAAGCACTCTACCACTGAGCCACCTTCCCATCCCATAGCTCAAATTGTTGAGTGCCTGCCTATCAAGTGTGAGGCCCTAGTGTAGCTGAAAAGGAAAATGAAAAAAAAAAAAAAAAAGAACTGGCTTCCATCTTCAAATCTGCAGACTGGGAAAGCACTCAGAATGAGTCCTAGGCTGTGCTAATGGAGAAATATAGTTCCTAGAACAAGAAAGGGGGTTGTGCCATAGCTAGATCATGAACGAAACTTCAGCTTCTCTTTCTGAGAATTCTAGGCTAGGGGCATTGTCAAGGTCACATCTCCAGTGCAGAGGGGCAGAAAGTGAGCCATACAGAAATTAGACATGGCTGGCTGGTTAGAAGCAGCAGGAGCTGTTCAGGATCACACAGTACTCCTCCAGTTACCTTCCACCTAGGTACCTAGGGAAGTACCTAGCATTCCTGGGTGCTGTCAGAAAAGACACATTTCAGGCTCCACTTGCTCAAACTTGCTGAGTCAGAATCTATATTTTATGGAAATTTCCAGGTGATGAGTTAGTTTAAGAAGCTCTCCTCTGAGAGTGAGGGAAGAAGTGACATTGTCCAAAAGGAAATGCACTGTTTGCCTGACTTAGGTGTTCTGTACATCACTTTTATAAGAAAAAAAAAGCTCTCCTTTAGAACCAGAGCTTTAAAGCTCCCAGTTTCTGAGAAGCACTGAGGGTGGTCTGGGCAAGGAGAGGGTTAAAGTTCCTTGGATTCAAATGTGAAGCAAAGGGTAAGAGCTGCCATCTAGAAAACATGAAAAAGGGGCCTAAAATATGGTCCCATTATATCAGGGCTGTGGCTGGGAAGAGTGCCAACTTCTTTTGGTCCTTGTGAACTGAGCAAGGACCAAGAGGAGCAAAATTCTAGGGGTTCACTGACCTTAGGAGCAGCAAAGAATAGACAAAGATGGAACAGCTGGAGCTCCAGCATTGGCAATGGCCAAGTGGCAGTGGACACTCAGGCTATGGCAGCGGCTTCCCTAAGAAAGGGACACTCATGTTGATGTCTAGGTCCCTCTCCTTTTCTACTGAATGGTTAAGAAAGTTCATGGGGTGGCTAGAGGCCAATCTCTGAACTGGCCAGCACAGTAATCAGGACTGACCACCTCCCAACCCTCTCTTCTATGTAGGGACAGTGGCTTCTCCAGCCAGGGCATGGATACTTATGTGGAAATGAGACCAGTCTCCACTTCTTCAAATGACTCCTTCCCTGAGCAAGGTGAGGAGGGAGCAGGACCAGGGCAGAAAGGGGCTGCTGGGAGTTGGAACTGAGGTCAGGGAAGGTAGGAGTGTGGTGAGACTACTCTGATATCTCTTCCCACCCCAGATTTGGACAAGGAGGAAAGTCGGCCGCTGGAACTCTGGGATCTGCTCCACTTCTCCACCCAAGTGGCTCAGGGAATGGCCTTCCTGGCTTCCAAGAATGTGAGTCAAAACCATCCAGGGTTCAAGTCCCTGGGGTAGAGGGACTGGATGAGTGAGGATAAGGGGAGAAAGGGAAGACATGGAAGGGGAAGGGAGGAGCAAAAGTACAGAGGAGAGCCAGGTATCAACACACAGCGTCTAGGTGAGAGAAGGCAAGAAATAGGTGTGCCCCTAGTCTGGGCATACCTGTTTTCCTGGTGTGGCCCAGCAGGGTACCAGTTCCTTCAATAGGCTTTATCCACTCATTTTTACTCAACAATGTGAGCAACACTGTCTCCCCTAATGAAGCACATGGTCCCATAAGTGGAAGCAGACCTTCATGAGCTGAATGTATAAAACGTAGTCAGTCCAGGAACAAACGCATGCTCAGGGATTGGGAGGTGGGACCACAGCCTTACAATAGACTCAGGAGGCAATGATGGCTGGCTGTGCTGCTTGGTGTATAACCTTAAGCAAATAAACTCCCTGAGCCTTGGTGTCTCTTCCTGTACCAATACGCACAATCCCAGAATTGTGTGAAGGTAAAACTGGTTTCTAACGTGTACAACTTGCCTGCTCAGGGAAGGGCTCCCCACAGCAGGGCCCTGCAGGTGGCAGCTGCTATTAGCAATGGGATGGGGTGAGACTGCTCAAAGCACAGGGGGCTGGCCGACTGCCCAGCTCAAAGGCAGCTCTTCCTGCCCAGCAACAAATGAAGGGCTAGAAGGGCAGTGGAGGCAGGTGATGGCTTCTCAACATTAATGGACCATTTTAAATTTTCTCAGGTAAGCTTGGGTAGTTCAGGCTAGAGAACTAAAAGACTGCATTCTCCCTCAGTGCATCCACCGTGACGTGGCAGCGCGCAATGTGCTGCTCACCAATGGGCACGTGGCCAAGATTGGAGACTTTGGGCTGGCTAGGGACATCATGAATGACTCCAACTACATTGTCAAGGGCAACGTGAGTGCTGCGTGGTGGTGGTGGTAGTGGGCTGGGTTGGGGCAGAGGCCCGAACCATAAGTGATGGAGACTGTTGTGGCAGGCCCGCTTGCCTGTGAAGTGGATGGCCCCAGAGAGCATCTTTGACTGCATCTACACTGTGCAGAGTGACGTCTGGTCCTATGGCATCCTCCTCTGGGAGATCTTCTCACTGGGTGAGTGGCTGGGCCAGTTAGGCCTAGTCTGAAGCTCTTCTTCCGTTACACTGATATCTTGTGCCTCATGTAGGAAAAGTCAAGGATGCCCAGTGGCAGTATTAGAGCAAAGATGTGCAGGAATGAAGGCCAGGTGTGAGGGTTAAGCCAGCACTGCTGCTCCTGAATAGGTCTGACAGGCTTTCCAGTGCTAACACACATCCCCTCTGGGCTCTTCTCCCATCCATCTCTGCTTATGCAGTTGTCACTACTATTACACCTTTGTCCCTTAAAACTTCCATGCCCTTGAAGATGCAACTGAGTATGAGACTCAAGGTCCTGGACTGCTCTACCAGCCTCTTCATCTGGCATTGTGCCCACTCTGGACACACAACAGACTTGGCTCTGCCACAGTCCAAAGCCTGTACTGAATTCCTGTGTGGTGTGGAAGGCTGCCACCTCCCAAAGCCTGTGCCAGTTGCAAGAGATGATATCTAGGAAGCACTGGGTGGGAACAGCTGTGTTCTATGGCCATGGTTTGGTAGGTCGTTCACACACACCTGAGTGTGGGTGGGCATGGGAAGACAAATGTGATTTCTTACACGATCCTTGCCTTTGCAGGACTCAACCCATACCCTGGCATCCTAGTGAACAGCAAGTTCTACAAATTGGTCAAGGATGGATATCAAATGGCCCAGCCTGCGTTTGCCCCAAAGAACATGTATGTTAAGGGTCCCCAGAGAGGGGAGAGGACACCCAGGCATGGTTTGGAAGAGGATGGAGGGGTGTGCAACCCTTGTGTTTGTCCAGAACGCTCCAAGGCAGGCTTCATCTCCCCCACAGTAGACTGTAAAATAAGCTTCTGTCTCCACTCCATCCCAGGTAGTATAGGGGACCATTCTCAGAAAAGGGTCTGAACTGGGTCTCATCTTAGTCTAGATGATGGATCTTTTCTTCTTTTTGCCAGTCTTGGGGCTTGAACTCAGGGCCTGGGCGCTGTCCCTGAGCTGCTCAAGGATAGCACTCTCACTTTTCTTTTACCCTGAGGATACTAAATGGCTCCATCTGTCAAGAGTGATGAAATATCCTTTTGTGAGGGCTACTGTATGGATCAGGAGGAAGCATGCTAAGGATTTAGGTTTACACTAACCTTTTTTGGAGCACTAGGTATAGAAACCAGGACTTTGTATATGCTAGGCAAGTGCTCTACCCAGCCTCTAAGCAGCTCCTCTTGGACTAGCTTTGGGGACCTCCGCTTAGTAGGCATCTCCTGGGATGTACAGTCCCCAGACCTAAGAAGTTTCACATATGCTACCTGTCTGTCTTCAGATATAGCATCATGCAGGCCTGCTGGGATCTGGAGCCCACCCAGAGACCCACCTTCCAGCAGATCTGCACCCTCCTTCAGAAACAGGACCAAGCACACAGGAGAGAGCAGGTGAGTGGCTGGGCAGGCTGGCTAGCAGACTCCACTACACCTTGACTGAGACTCACTGTCCTTGGTCCCTTCTCATCTCAGGATTACGCCAACCTGCCAAATAGTAGCAGCAGTAATGGAGATGGTTGTGGCAGCAGCAGCAGCAGCAACAACAGCAGCAGCAGCAGCAGCATGGAGCCTGAGGAGAGTGCTAGTGAGCACCTGGCCTGCTGTGAGCCAGATGCTGCCCAGCCACTGCTGCAGCCCAACAACTACCAGTTCTGCTGAGGCAGTGAGGGCCAGCGCACTGCTCTTCTCCTCCAAGCTTCAACTCCCCCAATGGGTAGGGCAACATGGGCAAACACACGGAACTCTGCCCTGGCTCATTTCACTCAGCTTGGTCCACTCTGAAACTTTGGAATTTGAGGAGTCCAGAAGATGAGACGCCCAATTCCCAGAGCCTAGGCCATCACTGCCAATAAGGGGCTGAGCCCCTCATACCTGTTCTCTTGACTTTGGCCTCGTATTTGCTGTGTCAACTATTAGACCCCAGGTCACTGGTGGCCTTGTTCCCACTTCTAAGAACCCCACCCCTAGTTCCCTCATGCCTTCCTGGAAATGAACTGACTACCTACAAGTCCCCAAGAACTGCCCTAATATTGAGATGACCAGGCTGCCTGGGGCTGAGCAGTCTGGAAGTGGTGCAATTGCCTACCCTGACCACGTAGAGCACAGCCCAGATACCTGCAGCCCACAGGCCCCTTGGAGCAAGATGTCTCAATTCTAAGACTCTTAACTAGTTCTCTGGTCTCTGCCTATGGCCTTCCTTCCTCAACCCTACCCCACCCTGGACCTGGTAGTGCTATAATGAACCTAGTGGCAGCTAGAAGTGTGTGTGGAGGGCATTCTGCCAAGATCCCTGTCAATCTGGGTTAGAAGGCAGAGGGCCGTGGTATGTGGCCAGCCACGCCACTCAAGAAGCATGTGTTCCCTTAAGTTGACTCATACAACTAACAGTCATGCTTCCGGATTTTTTTTTTTTTTGTCAACATTAAACTAACAGCATTAATATAGCAAGCCTCTGGTTCTTTGTATACCACGACACCAGTGATTGAGATTTCCCTATCACTTGCTGTTCCCTTTGACAGAGCAGCTCAGTCCTCCAGAGCTCAACCACACTGCACCCCATACAATGCACATAGAACTGGCTCTTGTGTCATCAAAACCAGATAATTTAATAAACTTTATTCTCATGGGGGCAGGAGGAAAGGGGAAAAAAAGCCACCTACTCCACTCCGCTCAATAAATTAAATAACATTCGGCCAGTTCCTGGGCCCTAGCAAACCATGGGCACTTGAGCCAGTCCTGCTGTTTCCTTTCAGCCCTGTCTGCTTCCCCTTCACAGAAGGGAGTTTTTCTACTGTTGCCAGGTTATGTCACAACCATGGGCCACATCCCCAATGTGGTGAGGGTCCCAGGGTCCAGAGAATGCAGGGCGCAGCAGCAGTGGCCAGGGAAAGGAGGAAGGGGGTAATCTTCCCTAAAGCTCAGGGCAGAGGATAGTCCAAGAAGACAGCTGTGGCTGACTGTTCCACCCCTCCTCAGCTTATCCCAGAGGTGGGTGCAAAGAGATCTAGACAAAAACGTACTCCTCTTTGGGGAGCAGTCAAGAACCCAAAGGGACCTCTGGAGTGAATGAGGCCATAGAGGCCCTAGTCAAAGGCAATAGGCTCAGGAGCTAATGTGGCTGGAGACTGGGAGCAGGGAGTACCTGATGGGAAGGGCAAGCTCAGAGTCCTCCCTGACCTGCCCACTTGGTGCCATCTCCTGCCTAGCCTGCCCCAGGCCTTCCTCTCTGACCCACAGTACAGCCAAGGAACCAGCTGTCTCCCTCCCTCCCCTAAACACATTGTATCCCTTATATGCTCTCTTGGGGCTAGACAGGGGGTTCCTGGCATCTGCCCTGAGCCCTGGAGAGTTGAGAAGCAAAGACCCTGAGCCCTGCTATGCTCAGGAAATGGAAGCTCTTTGGTCAGTCCCAGCAGTCAGAGGCCCTTTCCCACCAGTGACTGCTTCTGCAGGTGCCTGGATAGGGATGCCTTGGGCAAGGGCCCTATTATGGCTTGAGATGGTGCAGTCTAAGTGACAGCCTGGCTTACTTAGTTGCGGTGGCCACCTCCTCTTCTCCACCCTCCTCCTCTGTCTCTGTCTTGATCTGAGCAACCCCAAGGCGGTAAAGGGTATCACGAATGACCACCTCGCCTGGCTGGCAGCTCTGGACTATGTCATGGATCTGTCGGTTGACAATCTCACGGCTGGTGAGGAAGTCTATGAGGCGATTGTAGAGGTAATAGTGGGTGGCATTGTCAAAGGCAATGGGCCGCTGGCGGACACTGTTTGGCTTGCTGTCCACAGTAGAGGCCAGGATGCTTGTATAGGGTGCCAGCTCAGGACACAGAGACAAGGAGTGATGTCCAGCACTGGGGTCACTGGGACTGGGCTGTGTGCCTGCATGAACAATACGTCGCGTGGGAGTCTTGGTGACTGGGTGCTGGATTGAGTGCTCAGCCTCTATCACATCCACAGAATAATGCTGGTCCAAGAGCTCAGGACAGGACACACTCTAGAAGAGAGATGCAAAGTCTTTTTTTACAAGAGGGAACAACACAGGTAGGACCTGTGTGGTGGGTGAGAGAAAACGCCGTGGTGTCAGCCAGTCCTGCTCATATCCCAGCGTCCCTATGACACCCCTCCCCCTTGCATCTCCCCATCCCCATTTCCATTTCCTCAAAAAGAACAGGGACAGAAAATCAGTTATGCTTAAAGCCGAAGTTGTACCTAAGCAATATAGGCAGGAGATGAGTGGGAGGAACTGGCTGTGAGGGAAGTATAGAAAGCCAGGAATGATGATAATGATGTTCCCTCCAAAGCCAAGCCAGAGGCTTTCACCTCCCACTTCCTATCTCCCACCATGTACCCTGACAAGAGTGTTATCTTCTCTTCTACCTACTATATCAACTCCAATGCCTGCCAGCAAAGGCCTTGTAGTATGCATGCCTCTGGTAAGAACTATTGCCTAGTCCAATGTACCAAGATATAAAAATAAGGGTTCTATCACTGTTCTATCACTGTTGCTGTGCAACCCTTTCTAGGCCTTACTCTCACCTTTTAACAAAAAGGATTAAAGATTAGTGGCTGCTAGACACCAGCTGCTCACACCTGTCATTCTAACTACTTAATAGGCTGAGATCAGAAGATGGTGCTTTGAGGGCAGCTCAGGCAAAAAAGTCTGTGAGCCCAAAGTGGAGCTGTGGTTCAAATGGTAGAGAGCTAGCCTTTAGCAAAAAAGCTAAAAGATAGCAGTCAGGTCCCAGGTTCAAGGCCCAGTATCAACACACACACATATACTGAAGGTACACATATATTCTCTCTCTCTCTGAAGGTTAAAGTAGGGCGTGGTGACTCACTTCTGTATTCTAGGGAGGCTGAGATCTGGAAGACCACAGTTCAAGGCTAGTCTGGATAAAGGTTTGTTAAGACTTTCCCTGATAACCTAGACCTGGGCACAGTGGGCACATGCCTGCCATCCTAGCTAGGTGGGAGCTGAGATCAGGAGGATTGTAGTTCCAGGCCAGTCTAGTCAAAAGAGTTCACAAGAGTCATTCTCAATGAAGAAGCTGATGGACTATACCTGTCATCCCAGCTATGGTGAGAATCATAAAAGGATTGTGTGTCAGATAGCCAGCAGTTTGAGTTCCTATCTTGGACCAAAAAAAAAAAAAAAAGAGGAATTACAGTCCAAGGACAGCCCAAGCAAAGAAGTTCTCAAGACCCTTTTTCAAGCCATAGCTGGGCAGGGTGGCATGTGCCTGTTATCCCACCATACATGGGAGGCTGAGATCGGAAGGTTCGTGCTTTCACACTAGCTTGAGCAGAGATGTTCTTGAGACACCCATCTCCACCAAGGGAAGCAAGACTGGTTACTTCAGTGAAAGCTGGGCACTGGTGGTACATGTCTATAATCCTAGCTGATCTGAGGATCACAGTACATAGCTAGCCTAGGCAGCAAAGTCCATGAGACCCTCCAATTAACCATCAAAAAGCTGGAAGTGAAACTATGGCTCAAGTGGCAGAGTGCTATCCTTGAGTAATGAAACTCAGGGACAGTGCTCAGGCTTTGAGTTCAAGCACCAGGATCAATACAAAAACCAGGAAAAAATAGGTCTGGAGGTGTGGCTCAAATGGTAGAGCACCAGCCTAACTAATGCAAGGTCCTGGGTTCATACATCACCTTTCTCCTTTAAAAAAAAAAAAAAGACAGTGTGTTCCAAGGCTGGTCAGGTGGCATTCTTCTAGCTTACGTGGAAGGCAACTTTTTAATACAAGGCACCTCAGGCATACTTAATGACCTGATTTGGCCTCAAACAGTGACTAGTACATATAAAGTTTTAGAGTAAATGTTGATTCCACTGTATCAGGACAAAATTCGGGTGGAGAAAAAGGATGCTAGAGATGGTTTCAAGTCATGTCTTGGAAGATGGGACATGGTCAGACTGAGAGATTCATTCCATTACTTTAGGTAGTCACTTACCACTGGTGGCTCTGTAGGGCTAGAGAAACAGCCCTGGTTCCTTCCCCACATTTGGCTGGTCAGCTCCGGGTAACAGAGGTCAGCACACAGAGCCACTGGGGTGGCGGTATCTACCACATAGACAGGCGGCCAGTGGCGAGAAGAGGCAAGAAGATCCACATGATCACGAGCACTTTCACCTCGAACAAGATACTTGGAGCCGCAGACCACCTGGGGGTAGATGGGAGGACCATCCAGTATGACATAGCCCAAAGACATTCCTGAGAAGCTCTGCTCTGCCCAGGGGGCTGTGAGCCTCTCAGACATAGCTCCTGTATCATGACATGACCTCATTCCCTTTTCGGTCAGGTCGTCCTCACATACCCTAGTGAGCTAAGCCTTGGCTGAGACACCCCACTTACTCAGTACTTGTTAACAGTACTGGATTTTCCATCCATCCAGACTTTGCAGACCTACTCTGTTATCAGGTACCAACCTGTCTCAGAACTACCCTAAGATCTCCCCTGTCCATATCCTTCTACAGACACCTGATGTGATTGTCCAGATTAAAATCGGACCATGACAATAGTACCCCAAGCCCCACTCAAAAAGTCCCTCACTACCCTCTGAATCAAACCCCTGTGGGGAATCTTGTTGTCCCTCTGTTGGGGACCACTCCTTCCTGTCTCTTTACTCCTTCCTATCTTTAAGCCTCAATCTTCTTTGGATGCTTTGTGGACAGTAGGTCTTCTTTATTACTTTCTATTCTCAAGCCCTTGGTTCCTTTAGAGTCTAGTATCACAAGTCTATAATGGTCCCCACTAAAGCAGAAAGGAATGAAACACTTGTTGCTCACCCCTATACCCTTACCAGTGACCCGGGCCCCATAAATGCACATTGCTCCATGACTCTGGCTCCTTCTCCAGGCCAAAGGATGGCACCTGACTCACCTGGACAGTTCCTTCCTAGGCTGCATAGCAAACAAAGTCCCAACACCCAAAGCATAGCTGGCTCATTCAGATCCTCTGTGGGCAGTTTAATATGAGCAAATTTACCCCAAGTACCTCCTTACCTGATGAGGGCACATCTTGTAGATTTTACCCCCTGTGAGATGAGGTGGGGGTTGTCTAGCTCTGGCTCCATTTTGTACAGATTCATAGAGGGCCAAAAAGGAGAGGCAGAGCTGATCCTAGAAAGGAAGGACAAGATTGTGAGCACAGGAGTGTATGCCAAGGGCTAGGTCTAGTGTAGATCAGCACACACTCACTCCAGACTCAGACAAAGGATCAACTAGGCCAGACTGGGCCTTAGAGGCCCACCAGCCCAACCTACTATAGGTATATCTAGGCTTGGCAGGCTTCACAAGCATAGGATCACAGGCAAAGCCAAAGAGACAGACCAAGCTGCCAGACAGCCTGGAGCCTTCAACTCTTTAGAAGTCAGAGAAATCTTAAGGAAGTTAATATATGAATCTGAACTTGAAGGAAGTATATTTTCAATGGCACAGAAAAGTGAACGAAACTAGTATGTGAAGTCCCTCAACTTGTCTAGATGTATAACAACAGCTACTTCAAAAAAACCTGAAAAACAGACACTGTACATTCTTTTTAACAGCTTCATGAAATTAGTATTTATTTTAATTAAAAAAAAAAAACCTAGGACAACTCAAAACATAAAGCTAGCTCCTCCAAGGTCAGGTATAGTAAGGGCAGAAAGGACTCCCTATCCTAGCGTCTAGGCCCACAACTTCCAACAGGACAGACTGACTAGAGGCCAGGGCCTCACATGCATGTCACAATCTGATCGTTACTATTTTCCCAGTCATCCCGGATGCCATCCTCACTCTGTCCAATGCAGGTGCCCCATTACAAGTGTGTTCATATCCTGCTTGGAAAGACCAAGTAGCCAGCCCACAAAGCCTATCCACTGGCACCTCATACACTCACCCTGGAGTCCTCTGCTCTATAGGGAATGCCACATTGCTTCAGCAGGTGCTGCAGTTCATGCTCACTGTAGGAGCCAAGCTCTTCAAGCTTACAGGTGCCTTCCTGGAGCAGCCTCACCAAGGCACTGCCATTGCCTACAAGAGATAACAATGCTGGTGGGAGGGGCTGTCATCAGCCACCAGAGGTAGTTTTCCACACCTGAAAATAAGAATAAAAGGGCTGGGTCTACAGGACACTAAGCAATGGAATTCAGCTCTGCACTGAGAAAAGTGCACGGCAGGCCTATGACATCTAAAGATAGCTGAGCTCTGGGAATTGGAACATGGCCTGGGATACCCAAGTAGATACCCACCATACAGACATTAAAAAAAAAACAAAACTCTAAAAGTAGCTGGGTGCCAATAGCTCACACCTGCAATCCTCGCTACTCAGGAGGCTGAGATCTGAGGATTGTAGTTTAAAATCAGCCTGGAAAGCAAAGTCTATGAGATTCTCATCTCCAATTAACTACCAAGAATGTGGAAGTGGAACTGTGGCTGAAGTGGTAGAATGCTAGCCTTGAGCACAAAAGTTCAGGGACAGTGCCCAGGCCCTGAGTTTAAGCCCCAGATCAGCGTGTGCGTACACACACACACACACACACACACACACACACACACACACACACACACACACACACACACACACACACACACACACACACACCCCTCCCCCCACTAAAATGGGTTAATGTTTAGTCTTCTGTTTTTGAGAACTAAGAGCTCAGATGCTCAATATACCTGCAACAAGAAAGGCAGTAGGTATCATTTTAAAATGCCCTCTTTAAACTATGCTCCTGAACCAAACAACAAGAAAGGCAGTAGGTATCATTTTAAAATGCCCTCTTTAAACTATGCTCCTGAACCTGACTAACCAGAGAAGTTACTGTATAGGCGACCTAAAAAAAAAAAAGAACAAGGGGCTGGGAAGGTGGCTCAGTGGTAGAGTGCTTGCCTTGCATGCATGAGGCCCTGGGTTCGATTCCTCAGCACCACATAAGCAAAATGAAAAAAGTCGGAAGTGGTGCTGTGGTTCAAGTGGTAGAGTGCTAGCCTTGAGCTGAAGAGCTGAGGGACAGCGCCCAGGCCCAGAGTTCAGGCCCCACGACTGGACCAAAAAAAAAAAAGAAGAACAATTCCTGGGCTGAAGGTAGAGTTCAGTGTTAAGAGTGATTGTTCAGTGTATAGGATACCTTAGTATCTAATGTTATGAAACAATGTTTGAGAACCAGTGATCACAGAATATGAAGTACTTAGGAAATCAACATAACAGGTCATGTCTAGATTTTTTAAATAAAGCAGAAAATATAGCATACTGCACTTTGTAAAAATAAAGCTTTCAGTTACAGAAAGGATATCATTCTGGGTCATGATACAAAACATATTTCTTACTGTGAGCTACACTTAAAAATACACTTAAAAAGTAGAAAGCTACCAGCCCTTATCAGGTCAATAACCTAGGACTGGATAACTTTACTGCATACTTTTTGTAGATGCACCAAGGGGCTTGAGGCAATAAAGGGAATTTGTAGGAGGTGACACCACTGCCAAGTGGCATGGCTAAGAATCAAACCCTACTTGTTAGAAACCTATGCTCTTCACAGCTAATCCAGTGCTGCTTACTCAGTGTATCAACACACCAGCTGAAAAATACCTGAAAGATCAGTTTTGAAGGCAGATTCCTTGGCCTCCCCCTATATTTTCTCAATGAAAGTTGCTGGGGTTGGAGCCTTATCACCAACATTTTGATTTTTCAAGGCATCTACTACTCAGTGTAGTGTATTCTAAGAAGCAGTGAGGTGTGTGCCTATTCCATATACTATGGCCGGTAGCCTCTCAAAACTGTGCATTGTGACTTTCTTCTCTCAGGGATTTTGTCACAGATGTCACTGTCTCGTAAGGTAAGAATCTTTTAAGTAGGCCAACATACTCTGTCTCTCTCCCCGTCTTGTCTCATCATGGACAAGATCCCAGATTCTTGACCGAGACTTTCTCTGATACGCATCAGCAGCCACCAGGTGGCCTTACCAGGTGCTGGCTGCACATCCAGGTTTTTGTCTTTCTCAGTGTTGACAACCACAGCTCCTCTCATGAGTGGTGGAAAGAAGGGGGCAATAACAGAGGCATCAAACTTGGTGATAGGGATGCTGGCAGGGAACGCCACCTGCTCAATCACCTCTGTTTCCATTGTGGCCCAAAAGTCTTCCACATTTACTTCACTGGAGCCCAAGAATTCAGGCCAGGTGAACTAAAATATCAAGATAAGAAAAGATTAACTGTAGCAGCCACAGAACATTAGCAACAAATAGTCTTCTCCCCTTCTTTACACACAGGAAGTGGAGGGTTGGCAAAGGGCAGGATTCTGACAGCTGTGTACTGCAGGGCACCCCTGAATTTGAATAACTCAGTGTTCAACTGTTTCTTTGTTCCCCATCACAGCAATCAGCCCCTTTTCTTCTCTCTCTTTATTCCTATCACTTCTATTTGCAAGGAAAGAGAGCTACCATTTGAGTACCTGTTATGTACCAGCAGTTAGCTTTTTACTTAACTACTAATAAAGAAGTCTGGGTAAAGCCAAAAGTAAAACTACTAGAGCCAAATACAGAACAAGTATGTGAATGTAGGTCTGGTTTCACAGTTCAAGCTCCAATTCCTGTGACTGGTTGGCAAGAATCACCAGAATTCTATTTGGTGAATTCTGTCCACCTTCCAAAGCCCTGTGGATTTGTTCCTCCCTTTAGAAGGCCCTCTACTCCAAATAGCATTTATCTATTACAAGCATCTACCACTCATACCAATTTTTCTTTCCTTTTGTGCCAGTCATAGGGCTTGAACTCAGGGTCTGGGCACTATTCCTGAGCTCTTCTGCTCAAGGCTAGCATTCTATCTACCACTTGAGCCACAACACCACTTCTGTTTTGTGGTTAATTGGAGATAAGAGTCTCATGGACATTTCTACCCAGGCTGGCTTTGAACCGTGAGCCTCAGATCTCAGCCTCCTGAGTAGCTAAGGATTACAGGCATAAGCTACCAGCGCTCAGCAGCCTGTTTGGGGTCAGTTATGGGGCTTGAACTCTGGGCCTGGGTGCTGTCTCTCAGCTCTTCAGCTCAAGGCGAGCGCTCTACCATTTGAGCCATAGCACCACCTCCAGTTTTCTGGTGGTTAATTGGAGATAAGAGTTGCACGGCTTTGAACCGCCATCCTCAGATCTCAAGATGCCTCATGAGGATCTAGGATTACAGGCGTGTGCCACCAGTGCCCAGCTTCAGCAGGCCATTTTTTACACTTAATAAAATAAACATTTTATTTCTCCTTCAATATGTATGTTGGTGATCTGCACTGATATATCTTTTTATTACTATGTATGAGCTACACAAGGTAGGATTTCACTGTAACATTTTCACATATCTATACGACTTAATTCAAGCACTGATATATTTTCTAGTATTGAGACAACCTGGCACTTTTAGTGACTCTCTAGTCACTGTTTAAGTCTTTAAAATGACCCATGTGATCCTATAATAGGGCCCAGCCTCCTGTGCTTCTAAACCTTGTAAATCCTACCATTCCCTGTAGCACTCTCTGGCCAAATTAATTTCTTTGATGTCCCTAAACTTGCCCAGCCAGAATGCCCTAGAGCCCACTCTCGCTACTCCTTCTGCCTGTACAGTTCCTTACCAAAGTTCCATGGGTTTCATATCTCTATTCAAATGCTGCCATCTCAGAGACCGTCCACAACTAACCTCGCTAACAGGAATGCCCTTTCACCCATACTGCTCTCTCCTCATGCTGCTGTACAGCATGCATTCCCTACCTGACATATTTGTTTCCTATCTGTCTCACCCAAACCAGAATCTAACTTCTATGAGTACAGAAACTATTGTTCTTTCATTAAAAAAAAAAAAGTTTTTAAATTTTACTACTATTTCCCAAGAGTCCTAAAAGTGCTAGGGATAAGAGTTGAATTTCTGTTGTAGAGCATATGATTAGTATATCCAAGGCCCTGGGTTAAATTCCTATGCATAAGTATTTTAAAAGTACATCTCAATATATCTGATGAATGAGTAAATAAATACACAAATCCTCTTTTCTTCTGTTTTCCCCATATAAAATCTTGAGCTGCAGGGCTGGGAAGATGGCTCAGTAGCAGAGCGCTTGCCTTGCATGCCTGAGGCCCTGGGTTCAATTCCTTAGCACCACATAAGCAAAATGAAAAAAGTCGGAAGTGGTGCTGTGGCTCAAGTGGTAGAGCACTAGCCTTGAGCTGAAGAGCTGAGGGACAGCGCCCAGGCCCAGAGTTCAGGCCCCACAACCGG